ACACGCAGTCACTGCTAAAAGTTATCAGAGCCTTGGAATCACTCAACATTCACTTGGAGACTTCAACGCAACACTAGATTCTACACAGCATGCACGTGACATCCGCCTTAAACTGTTTGGAGAAGAACACGCAGTCACTGCTAAAAGTTATCATAACCTTGGCACCACTCAACATTCACTTGGAAACTTCAACGCAGCACTAGATTCTAAACAGCATGCACTTGAAATCTGCCTGAAAGTGTTTGGAGAAGAACATGCAAACAGTGCTAAGAATTATCATACCCTTGGAACCACTCAACATTCACTTGGAAACTTCAACGCAGCACTAGATTCTTTTCAACATGCACTTGACATCCACCTTAAACTGTTTGGAGAAGAACACGCAGTCACTGCTGATAGTTATCATAACCTTGGCACCACTCAACATTCACTTGGAAACTTCAACGCAGCACTAGATTCTAAACAGCATGCACTTGACATCCGCCTTAAACTGTTTGGAGAAGAACACGCAGTCACTGCTGATAGTTATAATAACCTTGGCACCACTCAACATTTACATGGAAACTTCAACGCAGCACTAGATTCTTTTCAACATGCACTTGACATCCACCTTAAACTGTTTGGAGAAGAACACGCAGTCACTGCTGTTAGTTATCATAACCTTGGCACCACTCAACATTCACTTGAAAACTTCAACGCAGCACTAGATTCTAAACAGCATGCACTTGACATCCACCTTAAACTGTTTGGAGAAGAAAACGCAGTCACTGCTGATAGTTATTATAGCCTTAGCATCACTCAACATTCACTTGGAAACTTCAACGAAGCACTAGATTCTAAACAGCATGCACTTGACATCCACCTTAAACTGTTTGGAGAAGAACACGCAGTCACTGCTGATAGGTAAAATAACCTTGGCATCTCTCAACATTCACTTGGAAAATTCGACACAGCACTAGATTCTAAACAGCATGCACTTGACATCCACCTTAAACTGTTTGGAGAAGAACACGCAGTCACTGCTGATAGTTATCATAACCTTGGCGCCAATCAACGTTCACTTGGAAACTTCGACGCTGCACTACATTCTAATAGCAAGCACTTGAAATCCGCCCTAAAGGAGCTGTGTCACGAAATTCAGCCAAATTAAGAAATTACAAAATGCCCGTTAAATTAAGAGAAACATAAAAATAACTGCTTAAAACTTTAAAGGAAGGTTATTATAACATAACAGAAAGAACAGATGCCACGGATGGGCAAAACTGAATAAGACTGAAACGGATGGGAATTAGGGTTTTTGAAAACTGTTCAGCCTAACAGTTTTTCAAAGTTGATCCCTGCTGCTTGCAGCTTCAAAAATAATTCTCAGGAGACATATTTGTTTGTCTCGGATCTCAGATTTTGTCATTTCTATGTAATTTCTTTGCTTACTTTAAGTTCCATAGCGATTGAGCGCGAGTAATTGGCAAAATTAAACAAAATGAACTGGACTACCGTGACACAGCCTCTTTAAACTGTTTGGAGAAGAACACGCAGTGACCGCTGATAGTTATTATAGCCTTGGCGCCACTCAACGTTTACTTGGAAACTTCGACGCAGCACTAGATTCTTTTCAGCATGCACTTGACATCCACCTTAAACTGTTCGGGGAAGATCACGCATGTACTGCTGATAGTTATCTGAGCCTTAGCACCACGCAGTTTTCACTCGGAGACATCAACGCCGGTCTAGAATCTTTACGGCACACATTTAAATCCACCTTTTAAAATATGTTTGGAGAGAATACGAAAGCAGTGTTTATAGCTGTGAGTCCTTTGCCATAACTTAACTCTTTCGTGATGATTGGAAGAAAGCAATAGAGTCAGCCTTGCATACACCTCACATCGAGATTAAACTAGGTAAAGAGAACGCATGTTTTGACTAAAGTGGGAGCTATGGACTTGTTTATTTTTTATTACACGGAAGATCTAAAGGTAAACAACAGACTTTGTTGGTGAGCGGTGACGCTCACCTACAAATGTAGTCATGCAGGATCTATAGAAGACCTGATTAGCAAACTGATATACACTGAGTAGACACACTGAATTCTGCAAAGTTGATCGTACTAAGGAGCTCCGTAGGGCTGGTAAGAGAGAACCCTGGGAATGAGGTTGCATTTGAGGGGACTGTTTTGCAGTCCAGTTAAGTGGAAAAATTGAAGAAAATACCGACAAATGAAAATGGACTAGAGCCCGGCAACAACATGTACGCCTTTTGGACAATTCCGCAATCCCGACACAATTTTGTACAATCCCGTAATCCCGAGGGTTATTTTTGGTATTCCACTTCCCCCGCATACTTTCAATTCCGAATTTGCTTTCAAATCCCGAATCCCGAAAAACCTATTGGCCACCGCAACTAGCCGGGTGAACTATTTTCCCTATAATCACCTTGGCTTGCCCAGCCAGGTCAACTCAGTACAGTCAAGGCAAGACAATCAGAACATGCGCAAGAGCTGTTGGCTAGGGCAAAAGAATCAACGTTTTTCTCTGACATAAACGATGGCAAAACTTGGCACCGCCTGGAGGGCGATGGACCTAACTCTTCTTCACACAAACGGGGCCTGAGTGGTTTTACGAGCGGTCACGATAAGAGTATCTTGCCCGCACGGGGTTTCCCGCGTTGGTTCCGCGAGAGAAAGGGAGTTCTCTTTTTGATCTCATAATAAATCCTTTATAATTGACCAAGCTTGTTCAGTCAAGATGTCTGTATATTAGCTCCGTTCTCTTTTGTGGTCAAAATACGCAAAAGAGGAACTTGGCTAATATCCAGTCATCTTGACCGAACAAGCTTGGTCAATTATAAATGATTATTATCTTATTATGCAGTTTAAAGTTCATAGACCGAGACGAATACGTCGAGGACAATAAATCTGCGGAAAAAAACGAGGTCAATATCCAGCCGTGTTTACCTCACGCTTGGTCAATAATACATATATCTTGACCGAACAAGTTTAGGATTTGTTATATGGTTAAAACAACTCGAGCAGTGGTGGATCCAGACCTTCAGATAAGGGGGGGGTGGGGGGGCGGTCATCCAGACGGCCTGAGATAAAGGGGGGGGGGGGGCGGTCTTAAATTTTTTTTTAAAATCATTTTCGATTAGGAAGCTTGACGTCCTCTGTAGCCTGCATAACAGGCGCTTTATGAGAGAGGCGAGTCTAACATGGCATTTTACGCCAAACGCCAGAAAAGCGCGAATCGCGAGATGAGGGAAGGAGAAACTCGTCTCCCGCTTCGGGCAAAATGCCGCGTTCGCCTCGCTTGGCTCATAAAGCGCCTGTTATGGAGGCCAAGTCCTCTGTTCATCGACTAGTTTTCACAGTTTTCAATTATAATTTTAGTGCTTTTCTGTTAAAAAAATTTTCCGTTTAAGCAAATGTTTGGTAATTTTTACAATGCCCTCCTTGTTTTATATGGACTGGACAAGCCAAGCTTTACGGCGGAATTAAGAAAGAAAATCGCTTTAAAGAGCAAACAGTTCGAAAGTTAAATGCAATTGATTCTGTTCTGACCAATTGCAGAGGACCTACGTAGGCTAGCAGGTGGGTTTTCTAGTCAATATAAAATTGAAGGAGGTGCCAAGTTTAGTCGTTGATCGGAAAGAATTGTTTGGTAGTAAGTAGTAAAAATCGTAACAAATAAAAGCGTTCAAAGAAAACAAAAGCCTCATCCTTTTGTTGAATAACTTGCTAGTTCCCCTAAAAAGTTTTTCAACACAGGATAGCCAGTTAGAACACAGGATGTACGCAGGATGTTTCCCGCTCGCGTGAGCGAGTCTTACAATAAAAAGAGGCCTGATGACAAGATGAGGAGATACCGAAAGGAACTATCCTTGTTATACAGGGATTAGCGGCGGCATGTACGTAGCCGTCGTTACCGTGTTATTAGGGTAAAAAACTTTTCCCACTTTTCAAAAAGTTCAAACATCTATACATATCATCAAGGTAGTGTCCCCTCTTAAGGAATAACCATAAGTCTTCAGACATTTTTAGCCCAAAGGAAGTGTCATGTGACCTTCAGGACAAGAGAAGCTCAGCACACGTGAAGACTGTGCGAATCGCGGCTTCCGAGGACGCCTCCCGCCTTCTTGATTGAGAAGACGATGTGCAATCGCACTATTCTGAAGTGGTGGGCTTTGTGGAGCGTAGTTTAGAGGTACTGTTCCAGACGCAAACGTCGAAAAACCGTACATTACAAAAGGAGGAAATTCATGTGAATGTAAGTCCGGGGGGGTGGGGGGGGGGGCGGCTGGTCATAATTTTTAAGTGGCCAGGAGGGTACAGAGCTAACTTGCCTTACTTGGCAGGGGGCGTTACATTACTCTATGTAAGGCCCATTTTTCAACCCCCGCCTCCTCATAATTATTGCACAGTCTCTAACTTTAGGTTTCACTTCTACGCGTTCTTTGTTTCACTGTTAGGTACTAGTTTATTTTTTTTCTTTCTTCTTGTTTCTAAAGTACCTCATTTTAGTTCTTTAAGCATGTCTGAAAAATTGCCGGGCTGTTCAATTGTAATACTTAGGTCAAAACGTGCTGGACTCTTTAAATTAGAGCTTGTCAAACTAATTTATTTTATCACCTAATTTTGAATCCGGGCTTGATTTCCTTCAAGTTCAAACTGAGAAAGGATAACCAACCGTCCCGTCTTCGTGCGCACTTTAAAGCGAGAATTTTATCGTCTGATATCACTGTTGATTTATAGAAATGGCAGACAGTTGGACTGAATTATACACCGTATGTGCAGGGGCAATTAAGCTTTATTATTTAACGGAGTTCTCACTGACGCGGTCTTTGTAGGTGCGTGAGAAGTATGTAGAAAACGCGGAGCGGGAGAAGCGAGTGGCACAAGAAGCGAAAGCCGCTCGATTCAACACCTTCCCCTTCTCTTTCCTTCGTCTGCTCCCTCGAGGGCTGAAGGTATAAGAGAGCTTGAACCAATAATAGCGTTCAGGGCACGTTCAAATCCTTGGTTTGTGTGGTCCGGGAGCATAGAGAAGTTTTCTTGCTTCTGGTCTTCGTCTTGACTTCCGGGTTCTCCACACAAAAACAACAACAATCACCACAACAGCTGTTAAACACACAGCTAACGCTACAGCGGCCGCAGGAGGGAAGTCATCTGTGGTGGAGTCCTGGTCATCGTCACTGATCAGTTTACTCATAACAGTGTTACTGTTTGTTTTGGTGAATAAGTATGGGTTTTCCTGAAAAAAAAAAGTTACAAAGTAATAGTCAGCCCTATACCATGGACAGAGCCAAGTGTCTACATTACAGAGATGTCCGTACTTTTTACTTAACATAAACAGTGGAAGTGCCGGCTTTTATAAAAAGGCGTTTACCTGCTCTAGTGGAGCGGTAAACGGCTACATTTGGACAAATCATCAGAATGACAACAGTTACGCTGACTTGTAACTGATTAACTACATTGAGACAAGGCCATTTGTTTTGGACATGAATTAAGTCAACTGAAAAATCTGGTACAGTTTGAAACAAACCTTTGTGGGACACTTGAGATTTTCTTGATTTCCCCAGCCTTTTGTTTTAGAACCAAATGAAAACAATGGATAAATGAACATGTTACATGTTATAAACATGCTTCAGTAGGAAGCTTGACCCCACAGCCTAAAAGTAAACTCACTTCCACACTTAACGCTTTTAAGACATCAAATTAGTAATATTACTTGTAGAACTTCTATCTCTATAAAAGAAAGTGAGGAAAGAGGAAAGCATAGACAGAAAAGAGCATAGGCGTGTTTTTTAGATAACACCATACCATGTTTCTCCACAAGGCTAGAGCTGCTGCCGCGTGGCCCTGTGCTGAAAAGTGCAGGCAGTACAGGCCCAAAAATTCCTCCACTAACTTGCCATCCCGCAGGAAGAAAAGGTAAAGATAATGATTCCAAGCTTCTGACTTTGCTGGATGATAACGAGCCCTGGTGGACCCGTAGGAAGCTATATAAATTCCCTTTTAAAGAAGAGACTATGGTTTAAAGCGGGCTTTAATTGGGGGAAGGGGAGTATCAAAGAGAAGGTGTTTAAAGTCCCGCTCCCGCGCTGGTGCAAGATACTTGAACTATATAACGTTTTCACATGACGTCACGGCGGCCAAATTGGTGTCTCAAAACAATGAACCAGCGACCATGTTGGTCTTCCAAAAAAATCCTGTGGGAGTTGAACTCTTTCTTACGTAAAAGCTTTCTTTTTTCCAAGACATTTTCATACACGCTGGCTTAGGCTCGATTACCAGCCGCTGTTCGGGAAAATGAGCCCGCACTCATCGGGGAGGATCATAAGTACTATCATAGACCGGACCCGGGAGACGGCGGAAATCGAGCCTAACGCTGGCTACAAGAGTGAAAACGTTCTATAAAGTCCGTCTTAATCGGTGACCAGGATCCTTAGTTGGGTATAGAGATGTGTGAAAAACAAAGCCAAAAGAGCAGCCCTCGGCCTTTTCCCAAGATCATGCTCAACAAGCTCCTCTTACTACCAAAAATATCAATAAACCACATGAGCGATATCTGGCCAACAATCATAAGTTATTTTCTGACAACGTTGACTATGAACACTCAGATAACGGAGAAAACTAATTAAAGGGCAAAAGAGCAGCCTACAACTTACCTTAGTTTTCAGAAGGCAGTTGAAGAGCAGGTTGAATAACCACCGCAAAGTCGTTCTGTGTGTCATAAAGACCACTGCTTACTAGTTCCATCAAAAGGCGCTAAAAACGGTAATTAAATAAATAGACTACGAGTAGTCCCCCATTTTTCCTCAGGGATAGTAGAGCGAATGAAACGCGTGCGCGCGTGAAAATCACCCCACGCCAGAAAAGGCGACACGCTCTCCCCGCCGCGTGTCGCCTTTTCTCGCGTGGGGTAGAAAAATGGGGGACTACTCGTAGTCTAGTAAATAAACGCTAATAACCACAAGGACACCTCCTACAAGAACATCACAAATTCTAAACGATGTTAACCCACTATTAAAAACGAGATCTTAAGGTTTTTCAAAGTTTTATTTTGTAACAGGCGTTTCATCCATATTAGAACTACACGAACAGTTACCTTGTAATTTTTCACAGCTTGTGAACTTTTGGCCTTCTCCTCGCCACCTTTCCTCAAGCACTGGCATGAATTTAAAGAAAAGAACACAACAACAATTTCATTGAGTATAAAGGTAAGGGGAGGTTCAGAATAGTGTTATGGATAATAACTTATAGAAAATACTACTTTTAATAATAAACTGAACAACTAACAGTTTCTGAAAATACTACAGTTCACAAGAAATGTACCAGACTGACTGCACAACTCTTGAAAACATTATGTACCTGTAACCTTACCTACCCTCAAATCTGATATATCACATGCTAATGGTTTTAATTACAGTAAGTTTAAATTTCTGACAATTGTGAAAGGTTTTTGAACCCAGAAGTCATGTCCGCTTCAGGTTTAAAAATCAAAGTGCATGTAGCTGAGAACACTGAAACCAGTCAACAACATTTTTCCCAGATCAATAAAAACGATCTACCCCAACACAACAAGATAATGGCTTAAAATTATGCAACTTTGGCAGCTGAAATGGTCAAATTTAATATCACCCCATGCCAAAGCAGTGTTACCTAAACATTCTGTATTTCACTCACCAGCCCATGATTTCACAGGACTTGGTAGATCCACCATGCAATTCATAAAGTACAGACACGTCCATGGGCGGGACCAAGTTGACAAACAGATGGGGCACCTGTTCAGTCAAAAAAAGTAAAATTGAAGGGATATCAGAACAACGCTTATATCCTTGTAACGAACTTTGTTGTATTTTTTCTATGAAAATGAAAGAGTAAATAAAGGTAAAATATTTTTTTTTAATCATACCTCCTCTTTCAGGCCATTAAGAGAGCGCATCACATATTTCCCTTGTACTTGAATTTATATGTAAGGTGTTTCTTTCTGTATGTTATTGTATTTCTTTCCTTTTCTTTTTTTCTTATGTATTAATTTCATACCGTCTTTATTTAAAGCCTTGTCCTGCCTAAATTAGAATTAAAGCGATTTGCAGGACATAAAGAATGTAAACTTTATATTTCTTTAAATAAATGCATTGTTGTTGCTGTTGTTGTTGAAAGACCTTGGGCCAAGTTTGTCCTGAAAAATAAAGAAATTAAAATTTTTTTAGTTTATGACTTTTAATGGATAACACAAAATTATTTTCTGGTAATTGCATAGTCTAAAATGTGGCCTACAATTAAGGACAGAAATAAAAAATTAATGAAACAAGCATAACAAGTTAGAAACCCAACTGGCTGTGAGCAAATCAGTTAGAAATTTACAAGCTTGGCTTAGGAGATGAACGTGGGACAGCCAAAAACAAACCCAGCTGACAGTTAGAGCGGGGCTTGAACCCGGGGAGTCCTGATTGCAAGTCCAGCGCTCTAACCACTTGGGCGATGCTTAAATAACCTCCTTATTTAAATTAGAAAATAATGTATGAAATCCAAGACCAATCATTACACCACCCTTAATAAACAGGTGTTTAATCATGATTCCTTGAATTTTTATGAGTAGCACTATTAGCACAACTGAATGAACTAGAAGTCATAAAATTGACGAGCCTGGGCCAAAATACGACACAAATTAATTTAATTTGATTACATTCACAATGTAATTCAAAGCAATCATACCATGTTCGTGCAAACTTGACAGAGATCCTCTGTTCCAATCCACATGGTGAGAAGTTTCCAGTCATTTCCATAATCAATGTTCTATTTAAGAATTAGCAGAACAAAGAAAAAACCATTAATTACATTTTTATTAAATGCACTGTAAGTTAAACAAACCCAAGGACACTCATAAATCTGAATATTATTAGCAACAACTTATAGCAGAGCTCCCGCAAACGTAGCCCCATAGCCAAAAAGCTATGGTGACCTATCCATTCGAGAATTCTTGGCAGTCACATAACAGCCATTCACCCGCTCATCCACCTGTCCGTTATTATTGGCCTTTATAGCATAAAATTATATATTGGGCTAACCAATTAACCTTGTAGAACTGGGCTTATTTAACACACTTGAGGTCTTACGTCAAATTTGCCAATAACTAATTAAAAGAATAACCAATCACCTCCACTAATCACTCGACATAATGCAAAAATGTTTGTATCAATAAATTGTATGACTCTGACCTTGCTGAGGCTCCAACAAAGGCAACATTAATTCAGATCATCATTATAAGGGATGTTGTCCCTTGACTGGCTTGTTACTGATGTACCTTTCAGTAAAGGATTAAAATGTCTGATGATATCTGTAAGTGTATGGAATGAACAACAATTTCAATTACGCGAGCATTTCAATATAATTTCTGCTTTGGAATTGTCCTTGGTGACCCAGGGGCAGTCAGTCATCAAAAGTATGTGTTGTGTGGACATACATGTCCTGGGGGTCATATCATGAAAAACCAAGGGTACAGTGTACTTACTATTTACACAGAAAAACCGGAAATTCAGGTTGGAAAATCAAATGGACCACATCATTTCATTTAGGAAGCTTCAGAAAATATGGGCTTATACAACCATCCATTGTTCATCCTGTTCTAGAATATGCTGCCCCTGTCTGGCAAAATATACCACATTTTCTATCTTATAAGATTGAGAGCATTCAGAAAAGGGCTATGCGCATCATTTTTCCTTTAATGAATTACAACGAGGCATTAAATGCCCTTAATTTAACAACTCTAAGTGACAGAGGCACCCATCTATGCCAGGTTTATATTGATAGACTCCGGAATGAGAATCACCCCTTGCATTTTATGCTCCCCAAACAGGAGGAGGTTGTGCATAATTATAATCTTAGATCTAGCATTGGCCGCTCCACGCGTCCTACCTGTAGGACCAAGCGCACGCAAGAGACAAGAGTTTGTCACACATAAGTATACCTAGTGGCTTGTACAATTATATTTTCTAGTATTTATTGGATTTATTGTATTATATTTTAGTATTATATGTCTTGTAAATAGCTCTGTAATTCAGCCATTCTGTATATTGCTGCAATGAGTCTTAATAAACAGTCATTTGAGGTGTTGCGTTGCAATAAATTTATTGTTCTATGCTTTTAAGGCTGTTCAGCTGATTTGGATTAATACTTTGTAGTGGGTCGTTCACCCACCACTTCAAATTTAATAGATTTATTTTTTCTGCACAAGATTTCCACCCAGGTGGTTTGTGTAAATGACGTACCTCAAGAGTCCAACAGTGAAGTCCAAAATCAATCAGTCCAATGATTTTATTAGTAATTTTATACTACTACATGAGAAATTTCTGCAATTTGATTGGTTTAGAGCATTCAGCTTAATTTGAAATACCTAAATGTGAAAATTACAAATGTTTTGTGGGTAGTAGTATAAACAAATAATAGCATGATTTGCATGTGATATTTAGCATAAATACCACTCGTCATATTTCAAAATTGTCTCCAGTTTCATCTAGGTATTACAATCTCGAAATATCACTACAAATCATGGTACTACCTATATATATGTTTCAAAATGCTTTTGTTTTGCTAATTCAGAAATTACTGAAGTTCTAAACTTTTTTAGATACTGCTCTCTTGATGTCAGGTAGGTTTTTTTACAGATAATAAGTCACAAACAGGAGTAAAAAAAATCATCCTACTGGACAAGACAATACTATTAATTTAAGGCAAACTAATCTAAATTTTAAGATAAAGAGATTGAAACAAAGCAAAATAAATTAAACTATGGACAAAACTAAATCCCAAAATTAACA